GACTTCATGAGGTTCTCATGGGCCCAATTCTCAAACTTTCTGAGTCCCTCTAGATGGCATCTCATCCTTCTGTTGTGTCAACTGCACTGCTCAGATTTGTGTCATCTGCAAACTTGCTGAGCGTGGACTTGGTCTCACTGTCGGTGTCATTGGATTCCCAGATAGTATGCTGCCTGGCGAGCTCCTCACACGACACGTCAACCTGCTCAAAAGCATGTGATCTGTCTGGGCACACTTGCACCCATGATACCCACCTCTGCCTTCAGGTGCCAGGGGACTTTCAGATTCTGGAGTTCCCTGCAGCTGAGTCTTTTGGTCTTCAAGTCTGTTTGGGTCTAGACTTGTACCAAGGTTTCTCTGGGTTTCATCTCCAGCCTGGCAGCTGTGACATGTAGGTGCCATTTCTGTTACAGAAGAAGGCTCCTTCCTCTTCCTTCCTGAATAGGATTAAGTGGCACTTCCAACGTGCCCTTCCTTGAGAACTGCTGTGCCATGCTCTGACTGCTGCAGCACTGACTTCTGCCACTCTCTGAGGCCATTTAAATCTGCTGGCAACACTCGTGCCACATCAGCCTCTTGAGAGCTGACAGTTCCTCTTGGGTCTCTCAGCTCTTAATCACATTTCCCTGACTGCAGGAATGCCCTGCCCAGCTTGTTCTAGCACTCAGCCTCCAGAATGTACTACAGCTGCTGCTGCTGTTACCGCTGTCACTGCTGTTTCTGTGTCCCTCACTGACCTTAATAACTAAAGTATGTTTTAATTAATAATTAAAATACATTTTAGAAAACAGTTATATTAATTCTTGGTGTATTCAATGGCAGGTGATAGAGAAAATACTCTTTTTTGAAAGGGGTATTCTTAACGTTCTTCATAAGCATGATGACTGTAGTATTATATCTGATATGTTAGGTATTAGGAGTTCATCTTTTTACCCATAAAATATTGTTTAGTTAAGATATGCAGAACTTCAGAATTTCATATAGTATTCTCTTAACAGCCATGACTTCAAAGAAAATACAGAGATTGTGGCATCCCTTACATTACAGTACTGTAGTTATGGGATAAACAACCTCTGCTAACCCGAGAAAAATAATAGTTTCATTTTAAAAGGAAAAGTGGGAGGTGTAGTGGTAGAGGAAGAAGGATTATAGAGCAAGTTAATTAGAAGGACCCCAAGGGAAGGGTTAGGAAATTAAAACCCATAGAATCAGCATGATAGCAGCTAAAAATATATTGTAACAAGATATGGTGAGGATGGGGAGCAGCAGGGAAACAGATAAAGAATTTGATTAAACAGCAAGAAATTTTTTCAGGTGTTTTGATTGCTGCATTTCTTGTGACCCAGCCTCAGTAAAATAGCGGAGTAATAGTTACACTTTGCAGATTTATACTAACCTTTAGAGTAGAGATTGCTGAAAAGTTAAATATGTAAGGTTAACATTTGCTACATCAGAAGAAAATGCGTCATAGGAAAGCAAACATACACGAGTGGTATGTGACACAGGTTTTTCCTTTATATAGAAAGTACTTGGATACAATTTTGTGAGGAATGAAAATTCAAGAAAGGGACAGTGGAAAAATAATCGTAAGAAATACTATGGTAACATTTATTTTCTGTAATAAATGATTGAGAAGTCATGGTGTATTGCTTTATATGGTAGTAGAAAGGTAGGATTATTATGAAGCAGACTTCAGAGCCAGTTTTTATTTTAAAGATTTATTTAGCTTTCTAAATAGTATCTGTTCTAATCTTTGATCTGTTCTAATGCTACTTTTCTTGAAGAAGGAAAATAAACTATAATAATGATTTTTATTTTATTAAATGTAAAATGACAACAAAAGCATCCCTCGGTTTTGGATGTACATGTGCCAGAGTGAATGTCTAAAATGTGTTACAGCAGACATTCTGACTTTATAACTGTTCTCAGTGCCTGAATTTCTAGAAGTTAGGGGCATGCCTACACATGCATAAGTATGTAAAATCAATTTATACAAGTATAAAAAAAGTTGCATTGAATAAATATACCTGTGTGTTTTTCAAGACAGTATAACATAGGATATATTATATGAACTGACAGGACACTGAAGAGATAAACTATGTGGTTTGCTTCTGCATCCAGGTTTTTTTCCTTAAGGTAGGCTTTGTTGGTTGCTCTCTTTTAACTGAATCAGCTATGTTAGTTCAATATCCAAATAATGACATTTATTAAAAAGAGTGGATAGAATTTTTAAGAACTTTATATCCTATATTATACCTCACTAACATGAATTTTTAGAAGTGATGACAGTAATGCATTAAACATCCCATTGTCAGTGGTTAGTAAAATGTTTGTCCTTCTCATAGCTCATTGTAGTTTTCTGTTTCAGTGTTCAGAATTATTACTAATATTGGGCCAACATTCAGATTTAAATGCTCTATTTCCTGTCAATTGAATTACACAATCTGTTCTCCAACTGCAGTGTGAATTCCTTGCATACAAAAGCTAATGAATCAATACCTGTGTTAAGGGATTAGAAGCAGAAATTGCAAAAAACCTGTGGATGTGTCAGACTGTGATACATCTGGTGAAGTCCCTATCATTTGTTTCTTTTAACAAATGAAACATTTAAACTTTTTATTTTCCCAGCTTCTTTTTTCCTTAGAGAAAGTGTTGGTAGGTAGTGACTTCGTAGGGCAGAAAGTGTCACAGGACGAAAGCACAGAAAAATTGTATTCCTTTGCTGATTCTACCACACATTCCTCATGCAAAGCATGTACCCTTAGTGTGTGTTGGGTTCCCCATTTGTGAAATTAAAGAGACTCAGCAAAGATTCTGATTATTTTCTTCATTCTTTGTCTCTTCTAAATGGAAATAATTTTATTTTAAACAGCCAGTTCGTTAACCAGCATAATGGGTTGTTGCCCTAGTACAGCTTAAATAATCTGTAAAGTATTTAGTTTTGTGGAGCTTTCCTTTTTGCATAGCTTATTGAGTACAAGCTTATTTAGTGAACCATGATACAGATTGTTTTGAACATAATTTTTTTTTCCTCTAAGATAGGAAACAATTCTTGTCCTGATATTTGAATTAACTCTTGACAGCACAGAACATTACAGTGTGCATGTCATTGAGGCTACAGGTAGAGGAAGAATACTGTGAAATATGTTTATATTCAACAGAGATTGCATTGCAGATTTCAAGTGGTGCATTTAAGCTCCTTAAGGTTTAGAAAGAAGCATTGATTAGTCCTTTTAATTATAAAGCCACAGCCAAGCTAGGTTTTTGTATACCTTAAGAGAAAATTCATCAAAATTAATATGCAAACATTTCTACAAGTTCTGCGTGATGTTCTTCAATAAGAACATCCTCACTGTTTGTATGAGTTCTGTATGATTTGTTTATTAGGTAAAATGCACTACAAAACTTTCTTAGGGCTTAATCTGAATACAAAAATACTTACGAAGTATTTAGGAATCACGGCTAGGCTTTGTGAATGAAAATTTGGGAAGGGCTCTACCCACGTTTGTTGCAAGCGCGTTGGTGGCTAAAAAGACCAATACGAGATAGGCACGTCCGTTGCAAAAGGCACAGCAGAAAGACTCCTTAGGTGGTATATTCTGCAAGACACGATTCTTTCTGCGTTGCCTTTTCTCCTCAAGGGTGATCCTGCGTGTGCTCTCAAAGGCATCAGCAGCGTTATAGATGGTGTGTCTCCAGAGCTCTCGACTGGAGGCCAGAGTAGACCAGTGATGAAGATCAATATGGCCCAAGCTGAGATGTTGTTTCAGGGAGTCCTTGTATCTCCTCTTTGGGGCTCCTCTCATGCAGCAGCCAGTGGCAAGTTCACCATAAAGCAAGATCTTAGGGAGGCGGTGGTCCTTCATCCTGAAGACGTGCCCTGCCCAGCACAGCTGTGTTCTCATCAACATGGCCTCAATACTTGTGACTGCTGCTTGTTCTAGAACAGAGGTATTGGTCACATAATCTGACCAGTGGATGTTTAGGATTGTACGGAGGCAGCGTTGATGGAAGCGTTCTAGAAGTCGCAGGTGGTGGTGGTAGATGACCCATGATTCAGATCCGTATAAGAGAGTAGACAGCACTATGGCTCTGTAAACGCTGATCTTGGTGCTTTTCTTCAAGTGTTTATTTCGCCAAACTCTTTTATGAAGCTTTCCAAAGGCACTATAGTGCTTTTAAGCAGATAGCTTTTTATGTCCTAAGTGAGGTTAGTAAAACTGGGTCTGGAAAACACTTTTTTCTCTTTTTCTTTTTCCCCACTTCTGTTCTAGGCAGGTGAGAGCATCAGAAAGTTGTATTTTAACCTTTTTCCAGTTAACACTAAAGGTGTTAATCCTCTTATTCTTGTAGGCCATTAGTTAAGGCCGTAGACCATTCTGTAGGTGGTAGCTCAGTTCCTTAGTTCATTGCCTCAGAGTTACAAGGCTTAACAAATTTTAAGTTTTACCTGCATGCAAATGTGTGAGAACCTGATATGAGTTAAGGGATTCACGTGGGAACTTAACATTAGTTATAACCACGGCTCCTTGTTTTGTCATCTCTGATATTTATAAGGTAATTGCTCACAATGCTTTTCAGTAAAATGTGTGTTTTAATACAGAGGTTTCACAATTGAATTTTTAGACTGTTAAGTTTGCTATATATTCTGTACCAATGGCTGTGTCTTTATGTAGTTATATTCTTCTGCAGCAACTTCTGATAGTGCTGTATTTACATCAAGTTCTTACCAGCCATTAGTGTAGCTAATTTGTCATGGCACATTTGAATAACAAGTTGTATATGACTGATTAATTAATTCAAGGTCTTACAAACATGGCTTTGGCTCCCAGTTGTTTTGCACACAATTAAAAAATCAATACTATTTCAGGTAAACTGCTGCTTTCCTGAGATAATTTTTGTATTATTGTATGTCAGGAAAGGGACAGGGCATAGTCTGAATGCATTACTCCAGGTAAAACTTTCAACATGATTCATGTTGAACTTCTTGTTCATTATAGCCCCACTACGTACATTCTGGATGAAGATGAGCCTCGCTTCCTTGAAGAAGTTGATTACAGCGCAGAGAGCAATGACGATCAAGATGTTGAATTAGCTGATAATGTGGGTGATTATGAAGCAACTAATCAAGATGACGGACTTTCAGACTCAGATTCAACAAGGATACTCCTTTCTTGAACCAACTTTGCCTCCAGTAATAGGAAATAAAGTATCCTGGATTTCCATAGTCATACACTTCCTTGCTGTTTTCTACAAAGGGGATAAAGCTTCAGTTTATGCAAATAACTGAGGCCTGCCTAGCTCAAGGATAATAACTATTTCTGACAAATTTCCATTTGTTTTATTTAAGGAATTCTGTGTTTTCTTTTAGCACTGAATAGATAAATTTATTTATTAGTTCATTTTTTACTAAATAGTACTGCATGGCATTTTGTGTCCTTAAACCCTATCTTAAGAAAAATGGATTATAATTTATGGTGTGTCAGAGTACAGAAGGTAATTTTTTGTGGTATGGTTCTTTGAGTTGCTTCCTAAAAAATACGTATGTACAGATTTTATAAATTAATTTGTGTACGTGTGTGTATATGTATATGCGCGTGTGTATACTGAGGTGAAGAGGTTATTTTTCAACATTATTTCAAAGATACTTGATTGTGTTTGAAGCAATGTAGTGCCTGCTCTGAAAACATTCAATAATTACTAAATTAAAAATGAGAACTTGATGTATGAATTTTCACACTTGTTTCTTGCTTCTGATGATTATATGGTTTTGCCACAGTATTAGGTGAAAATATGTAATATCTTTTCAGAGTTCTGGAATTTTGCACAGTGACCAATGCAGCCTGTGCTTAGAAGAGCTATAGACTCTTGTATAAAACTTTCCCATAGAATAGGCATGTTTAATTTGAAGAAGTTTTCTCATTAAGTGTACATGACTGCAAGAAGAGGTTAGGTATGTACACTATGTATGTTCAGCTACCCAGATGCTCAATTTTTCTTGTTGAATATGCACGTAGTTAAAAAGTATTCATTTTACTGGCGTCACATAACTATATACCCAGTTCAATTGCTTTAATAGGGAAGGTGCATTTTGGTTTAAACCTTTGTTGCCTGATCGCAGTCTAGTGTTGACTCTGCTCTGAGAAGGAGATTGGACTGTAACTTCCTGAGGTCTCTTCCAGCCAGAAAAATTATTCTGTGATTCTGTATTCTTCATGTTTAAAGTCAAACTGTCAAATATGGAGTTTATACTTCATTCTCTCCTATCATCTGCTAATTCTTACTGCTTCTTGCTTCTGCTTAAGATCAGACCTAACAGAGAAATGAAGTTGTACTCTGTTGTTTACAGAATTGACATGTTTTGCAATGAAAAATACTTTTCCAAAATTATTTTTGAGTGATGTGACCCAGTTGTAGCATTCATTTTCTGCTGCATGTGCAAGGGCTTTAAAAGCATGAAGAATAACATTTCTAAGTTATAGCAGGTTTTTAACTGATGAGAACTTTGTGTATGTTTACTCTTGCAAATAAGTATTTTGGAGGGGAAGGTTGCTTTTGATAGAAGGATTTAAAAAGGATAAAATTTAAGAGAATTAACTGTATCAATGATTTTGAGCCAGGAGACAGATTTTCACCAGGATCTGCTGTTTCAAATGCAGCATTGTTTGGTAATGCCTGTCCATACCACCCTGATTCTGAAACTGGGGAAGGGTTTTAGATCCCTTGTGATACACTACTGTGTTTCTGTTTAAAGGCTTAAATTTATATTAATACACATGCAATATTGAGATGTACAGGTGGAAAAGATGGAAATATTTACATTCTTGTCCTTTTATAAGTTTTTCTCTCTAGTAAAAATTATCTTTCCTTGTGTTCTGTGAACTACATACTGTAAGAAAATTCATTTAATACCCCATTGAAGAGGAGCTCTCTGCATTGAAAGTAGAGGAATTTGAATTATCTGTAAGTCAGTCCAATGACAGCAGTTCAGATTGGTCATATTGCCCTGTCAGTCTTACACTAGTTATCTATATAAATAGGTTTTCATCCTTAAGGGGTCCTACTTCAGTAGGAGTAGTATTCAAAAATAAAATTATTCAGAAATAATTTGACTTAAATTTCAGGGAGTGCAGGATGCCCATGTTAGTTAACTCCATTGTGCATTTCTTCTTAGTTTTCGTTTGAATTTGTGTTACCAAACACCATTTTTATACTACAAGCAAGACTAGAAATATACTTCATCCATTTAGAGAGACTTGTGGCTTGGTGGTACAAAATCATCTTTTCCTCCTCAGTAAATACGCATATATGTTCTTCTCATGTTTTCTACAGCTTTTAGTCTGTGCAAAGAAAGAGTTATGAATGGCTTATATAACGTCTCAGGATAATGTGTTTATACATTAGATTCTGATGCAGTTATGCATTAGAATTCACTTATGCATTAGATGTCAGTCTGGCAGCTGCTGGTCTGACCTTCTACCAGTGCAGTTCCAATAAAAGAGGTGAAACTTTGTCCTTATCTTACACATTGCTGAAAATGCAAAGGTTGTTACCTCTTACATGTTTTGCGGCACTTGCCTTTCCAAAGATATAGTCTCCACTCGTACTTGCAGGGATGCCAGTCCGCGGGAAGAACTGCTGCAGTGATAACTGCTTCACACTGTTTATCCCTTCTCTGCTACATGTTGCTATTGTTGCAGCAGTGTTGGCAGACACATGCTGGTGCCCGCATATATGTGTTTTGGTGGGAAGTCTGGTGTTTAGCTGAAAATGGAATAGCTAACACTTAAGCACACACTCCATTCTGCTGCTGTGGCATTTACCCCAAATAAATGGGCAGAATTACAGCAAAGAATGGCAGCGTCTTGGACTGTCACAAATCAGTCATCTAGCATGGTTTGTCCCAGACAATTGACTGTCTTTATTCTATGCACTGGCATTTCAATAGGTTTCTGTTTTTAAATGATGCTGTTTACTATAAGTATGACTGGTTCTGTATAGGCAAAGAACATATCTGTATATCTTCCTCCAGTAATAACAACAAATAAGATTATAAACAATAATTACATCGGTGTTATTTACTGTCTTGTTTCCAAATAATTGCTATTTCTTTTCCAGGTATAATTCCAATTGCAGCACAAATTTTGGTATTGTGTCTTCACTGGTGACATCCCCTGGTGTAATGTAGCTAACAGCAGTTTGTGCCAAAATCTTGCCTGGTCATTTTTCAAGGTGGATTGTTTTATCAGCCTGACTTACCAGGGAGAATTGGTTTGAATCCCAAGTAAGACTGCAGAAGCAGTAAACACTGCTCACAAAATGCAAAAATGCAAGGTTTCAGATAGTTTCTTATTGTAATGCTATGATAGATATAATTCTTGCAGTGTTATTATGCATGCCCCAAATAACAATACTTATTAATAAAAATGCTTAATAAAGAATTAAATACAATCTTTTGCTTCCCTATTATTGGTTAGTAATGATTAAAGGATTTCTCATCATTGCATATGCAGTAGTGTATCTACCCATAAGGATGGGAGTGTGCCTAGCATTTTTAAAAGGAGAATATTTTTGTTCTCTGTCAAAACAAAGTCAGTGTGCTGCAGGCTTAGAGTAGCATTTGCATATTAATTGACTGAATTATAACTATCTTAAAAAGTTTAATATTTATCAATGTTTGTAAAACTTATGAAGGCTTTGGATGAAACACAATGAAGGTCATTGCAGAGCACACAGAAGAGCCTGGTGGTGAGAGTTTTTCCCTCCTACACAGCTAATAGAATATTAATCTGATCTATGAAAGGCATAAGTTTATTCTCAATAACTCACCACTTTACAATTCAACTCAGACTGCAGTAGAGAACTAAGTTATTTTTACTATTTATATTTTTGCAGTAGCAATTTTAAAATTCAGCAATTTTTGGAGGGAAAACTTATGGTAGATCTAGTTCTGTGCAGCTGTTTGAAAAGAACGAGTGATTACTAGGAATCATCAATGTAACATTTGCAAATACATTTGCAGTTTATTTAACTATACCTGTCATGTTACTTCAAGATGAACAAATTCCTTCACAAGCTCTGTTATCCAAACTCTTTTAGGCTGTAGAAGAGTTACAGTCATTCCTAAATTAGTCTAAGGATGTCTTTCTTAGATCTCAACAGTTTCTAAGGTCATCAGGATACAAAGCACTTGAGATGTGACCCTGCATCTTGTTTGCTTAAGTAAACTAACTCTAGATTGCTTTGAAAGATGGGGTTTAAATACAAAATGCCAAACAGCTTTGACACCTAGTAAAGAATACATTATCCTAAATTATGGAGGTCTTGGCTTTTTAACAGTATCATATAAAGAATTTATTTAGTCCCTGTAATATACTTCATAACTGTGAAACACACCCTTCTGTTATTAGAAAAAGTTAGCTGCTATATTTTTTTACCTTTTATATTTTTTTAACAGGTCTTTAACTGCTGACAACTGTGCTAATGTCTCAGTCTAAGAAAACAATTATTTTCTAAGAAAACTGGACAAAAGCCTTCCCTTATGACTTCTTTAAAAAAAAGCACAATACTCTTAATACAACTTTTGAAGCAATTCAGAGGGAGTCATTGCTGAAAAATATGGGTTTATCAACAAAGAAAACAGCACACCCTAGGATTTGTTGATCCAAATTATGTGGTTACCAAATGCCAACCAGCTGCTCTGTTTTGTTGCCTCTGCGACATTCTTGCCACAAGATGTTTGTGCTTAGTGTTTGCCTTTCTTTCTGGCAAGGGGTTATTCAGCATGCATCATTTTTCATGGTAGATTGGAAGGATATATACTAGCAGCACCACATAGCACTACTGTAAATTTTCACTGGACTAAATGCTAACTAATAAAAGAACCTGACTAATTCTAATAAAATTCCACAATAGTACTTCCATACATGAAATGCTGCTGTTAACACGGAGAGGGGAGATTGACTTATAACAACCTGAAATAGGACTCTTGTATACACTGTCCCTCCAGATTTACAAAGGTAAGATAATAAATGTACAAAAGGATCTGCACAATTTTATACAGGTGTAGTTGTTTGATCCTGGCTGGATGCTAGGTACTCACTACAGCTGCTCACTCCCATCTGCAACTGGACAGAGGAGAGAAAAAAAACAATGAAGGATTCATGAGTTAAGAGCTGGGAGAGGTCTCCATCACAGGCAAAAGAATTGAAGTGAGGATATTAATTGAATTTATTACAAACAGGATCAGAGCAAAAGAGTGAGAAGTAAAATAATCTTAAAAATACCTTTCCCCCACCCCTCCTTCCTTCCATACTCTACCTCCTCCCCCTCCAGCAGTGCAGGGAGACAGGGAATGGGGGTTACAGTCAGTTGTTGTTTATGCCACTGCTCAGGGAGAGGAGTCCTTCCCCTGCTCCCGTGGGGTCCCTCCCACGGGAGACAGTCTTTAATGGACCTCTTGAACGTGAGTCCATCCCATGGGCAACAGTTCTTCCCAAACTGCTGTCCCATGGGTCACTCCTCCATGGGGTGCAGTCCTTCATGAATGAGCTGCTCCACCGTGGGTCCCCCACAGGGGCCACAAGTCCTACCCAGGAAAAACTTGCTCCAGCGTGGGCTTCCCTCTCCACTGGCTGCAGGTCTCCAGCAGACGCTGCTGCATCTTGGGCCTCCCACAGGGTCACAGCCTCCTTCCTGCATCCACCTGCTCCAGCACGGGCTCCTCCGTGGGCTGCAGGTGGGTCTCTGCACCCCGATGGTCCTCCATGGGCTGCAGGGGCACAGCTGCTCCACCATTGTGAGAAAAATCTCTCCTTTCAATTTATGAAATGGCAAAAAATACTTGCAGGACAAGGAAACTTGCAGCAAGAAATCCTTTATTGCAGCACTGGGTGCAGTCCCAAGCCACACGCCTGGAAAAAGCACACGCGGTTTGAAAAACGCGCCCTCTTTGTACCCTTGGCCACCTAAGTTGTTGAATATTCAACAGGTAACAGGCAGATTCTCTGCAAAAGTCATCCTCCTGTTCTAGCTTATGTATAATCACCAAAGGCACAAGTTCAATTTATACAGATTTTGTGCTTGTGTGCACTTGTACACCAGTTCAGTTTATCCACATCTGCTCTAGCTTACTTTGTTCTTCTAAAGTATCCAGTCAAGTCAGTCCTTTAGCTTAAGCGATTAGCCAGTGACATTTCCCTCTTTGGGTCTGACCTCACTGTTGACAAAAGCTCTGTTATGAATCACAAAAGTCAGCGTTGCTTGAAAACTCTGCTGTTATCAAATGTGCACCTTGAGTGTGTTCCAGGATGAAAGAAGGCACCCCAAATCATCTGTTTTAATACAGTAGCTCATTCTTCAGTATGTCAGGTACTTGTTCCTTTTGTCCAAAAACTAAATGTCTACAACATAAGTAGACAATATTTTAGAAGAATAATTTTTCAGATCTATCAGTGAATTCAAAGACATATTAACTCTATAAATCCCTCTATGCTAAGCATCTGTACCCAAATTTTAATAGGGAAATAGATAAAATCTGATGTACTCCCAAACAAGTGTCTCCTGGTCAGCTAATTCTGTAAGGAAGCCAAGTTACCTGGTGTTCCCCCTCACACAGCTTCCCGTGTTGAGGAGAAAATGCTGTCAATCACAGCAGCAGAAATCTTCACCTTCACATTGTTCACCTGGCTGCGCCTGCCTCACAGACTCTAGAGATTTGTGCACAGATTTTCCTCTGCCTCTCAGTTGTGCTCTGTGGTACGGTGAGAGGGACAGAAGGATAAATTACAACTAGTCATTCTTAAGGGTCACATAAACTACTGTTTAACAGCATCCACCCTCCTCCATAATTTGTCCACAGGGTGAGGTGCCTATGGGCAAAGTGCCCATTGACAATGAAAGAAAATGGAAGATGATAGGCACAAGAAATAGCTCCTCTGTTTGTAGTCTGTGGACAGAAGCAGCAAATGGGTCCTGAGGAATGACTTGACCACCTGTGAAACTCCTTTCCACAATCCCTCTGTGAGCTTCCCACTATGCCATGGCAAGGGCTGCCAGGTGCTGGGGGCCCTCATGGGACACTGCTGCCTGACCTGGGGCCAGGCTACCGGCACAACTGTGAGAGCATTCCCACAATGGTGTGAAAAGTAATGCTAGAGGCAGTAGCCAGGTTCTTGAAGTTGGATCACTGATGGGTCAAAGATTCAAGAAAGAAAATACCATCCTAGCAATCTTAGGGGAAAACCAGAGAGAAGCTTTATGGGAATCACTGACTGAGCAACTGGAGCCAGTGTGTAGGTGGCAGGTGTCTCTGTGGGGCTGAACATTGCATAGGAGTCCACCCTGCCTGTAGAACCAGTGCCTATTTGGCTGAGAGATCTTTCTTGGGGTGGTCATCACAGTAGGACTTTGGCTAGCAGATCACTAAATCCCAGCTGCCTTTTGTCCATGAGAGGCATTGAGGAAAACCACAGAACCATAGAATTATTTTGGCAGTAAAAGACATCTAAGATCTTTGAGTCCAGCCATTAGCCTAACAGTGCCATGTCCACCACTAAACCATGTCCCTAAGCACCACATCGAAACACCTTTTAAATAGCCGTAGGGATGATGATTCAACCACTTCCGTGGGCAGCCCATTCCAATACTTGATAACACTTTCAGTTAAGAAATTTTTCCTTATTTGCAATCTAAACTTCCCCTGATGCAACTTGAGGCTACTTCCACTTGTCCTGTCATTTGATACTTGGGAGAAGAGACCAACCCTTGTTGGAAAAATTCTTCCTTTAGATTTAAAAATGGTAAAAAAATACCTGTAGGACAAAGAAAGTGTAGTGAGAAGTTTTTTATTTCAGCGCGCTGGGTGTTCCAAGCCCACATGGGTCTGGAAGCACACCAACCATTTGAAAATTGTGCCTTTTGTATCCTTTAGGTTACATAAACTGTTACATATTCAGTGACCACTGTTTTTTTACCTTAAAAGGTAATTTCTCTGACCCAGGAGGGGGTGTTACCTCTTCTCTTGATTGATTTGTGATGTACCCCCCTGGACTTTGTACAGGGTATTCCCCTGTACACAAAGGCTGTCACATGGCAGAGAGGATACATCTTTATTTTTGTATTTTCCCCTATTCCCGGCCACAAAAGGTTCCCTGGCGTCAGGTCCAGATAGGACCGTCCACCTTACAACTTCCACAGTACGCCTAAAAAGGCCCTTGGAACCAAAAAAAAAAAAGAAAAACCCCACCCCCTTCCATCCTCCTACTAAATTCATTTACTTATAATAAAACCAGGTTATTTATTTCTCATACCCTCAACTGGCTACACTCTCCTTTCAGATAGTTATAGAGAGCAAGGTGGTACCCCCTGAGCATCCTTTTCTCCAGACTAAACATCCCCAACTCCCTCAGCCACTCCTCATAGGACCTGTGCTCCAGACCCTTCCCCAGCTC